GAATAAACACAGACTTAAAACTAAGTCAATAAAGTCAAAAATTATAAATATCGAATTTAAAATTTTTTTAATGTCACAAATCAAGATTCGGGATTGTAGTAATTGGCGTAAGCTGTCGTTTTGAAATTAGAATTATAATATAGACATATAATTGTGTTTGCTGATACCGTGTGATTCGCATTGAACTCTGAACAGGTTTGATAACACCTCCTGGGCTTACTACATGAACTGGTGTTTTAAATATGGACTTGGTCTTTGCCAATGTTTTTTTTTTATTTTTTACATTTTTCATTTTCTTTCTTACATTTCTTTCCTTGCATTCTTCCTTTTTCCCTTTCGTTTCTTTCTTTCGTCTCTCTTTTTATCTCTTCTTTCTCTTCTTTCTCTTCTTCTTCTTTCTTTACCTTTTGTCTTCCTTTACTTTTTTCGGAAGGGTCAGGGTAGGCCTCAACTCATGCACAATTGCGCAACATAACCCTAAAAAATATGCCAAACCTCGTACGATAACTTGAATTGATTGCCTCAAACCATTGACTTTGCTACATAAACAAGGTCGATTGATTGGTACTTAATGTCTGTCACAACTTTACTTCACTCTTAAAATGTCGTTTATTACTTGTTTCAGAATGGTATTGTTTTCGTGACAAAGCAATAATAGTTAGATATTTTATTCCAGGAATGAATTCAAAAAAAAAAAAAGGGTTGTCAAATCGATTGTAACATTCAATTGATGACACGTTCCGGGCCGATTATTGTGCATTATTTTAACTGAAATGCTGAAAAAATTTGTTGTGACGAAAGCGCGCGCGAGTTTCTTGACATTGAGTTCGACATATCAAACTTTTGGTAAAAAAATACTCCGCTTTCTAATTCACGCMCACGACCCACCATTATTGTTTTGCATGATTTCAGCTGAAATGCTGAAAAAATGAGTTCTGAGGAAAGCGCGCGCGCGTTTTGTGGCGTCGAGTTCGTATCGAACTTTTGGTAAAAGTACTCGGTTTTCTGATTCGCGCTYATGATCACCTTTTCTAGCTAGCACCACGCTACGTATATAATGTCTATAATAGATTTATAGCTAGTTGGCCTTTAAGGAGGGAGAAAACTAAAGAGCTCAGACAAAAGCACTCGAGACAAAGGAGAGAGAAATGTCAAATAAACTTCAGGGTTGAACGCCGTGTGGTATTGTGTGGTTGCGGGGCTAACATGGATATACAAAAGAAATCACACTTTTTCTCGATGGAATTTGTAGCATTTCTTTTGTATTTCCATGTTAGAATCGCATTCACGACAATTTGAAGAAGGGTGCATTAGGTGGGAGGGTTGACTCAGGGCAATTGAATGAGGACAAATGATGGCGAAAGATGAGTAATAACGAAGTATGACGCTCTAAATATATATGTTGCATATATGGTATATACCAGCAAGGGAGAGTGGCGAAGAGCAGGGAAATAAATGAACAGGAAGTGGAAKAATGAATTCTTGAAGAGTAGAATCTGCATGGGAGAGAGCGAATCAGGTAAAACTTAAATGGAAGAGTACGTGATGTTTTWAAAAAAAATCTAATATAAGTAATTTACCGATTTTTTATCTATCAGAATTGATCAGTACTAAATCATGTAGTWAATGCGTGATCAAATACAACCATTTTTATATCATCAATCTTGGGTTAATGTTTGGTCATGTTACCTACGAAAACCCGTCTCCTAGCAACCAATTCATCACGGTATCTAACGTTTGTTTAATGGAGAGTGAAAAATATTTCACTGCCAATGCAATTCCTTTTTCTTCATTGTCACAATAATCTTTTTTAAATGGATCAACAACAAAAACAACGGAATCAAAATTGTCAAAAAGAGAGCGAAATAGGTACAGAATATAACAATAACAGCGAAAATTGGCGCGAAAATAGCGTAGAAAAGACAAAAATTCAATTCCAAATAGAGCAAATTAAAGGTATTTCTTCGTTAACTATGCTTACAAACACAACAATTATTTTTGTATTACCTGAAAGTAATATTTAGTATTTCAAGCATTTTATAATCACTGAGCTAAACACTTTATCTATACCTGAACAACCTCTGGGCTGATCTAAGTCAGGGCACGACTAACTCACAGATTGAACCCTGAAACAACCTTTGGGCTGATCTAAGTCAGGGCACGACTAACTCACAGATTGAACCTTAAACAACCTCTGGGCTGATCTAAGTCAGGGCACGGCTAACTCACAGATCGAACCCTGAAACAACCTCTGGGCTGATCTAAGTCAGGGCACGACTAACTCGCAGATCAAACCATGAAACAACCTATATATGGTCTGATTAAAGTCAAAGCACGACTAACTCACAGTTAGGTTTTGTGTACGAGTGGAAAATCGGAAAACCCGGAAAAAAACCCTCGAATCAAGTGACAAACAACAACAAACTATGTTCTAAAGTCATGCCGAATCCAGTAATTAAACCTGAGACCCAGGAGGCGCAGAGGAGGCGATTTCTTCTYGATAAGATTGGTCGTGTATCCGGCAGAATGTTCTTTATGTAGACTATCAATTTTAAAACGCGTTAGAATGAAATAGATTTTCAGTTTTTGAAGCTCTTCACGCAAATATGGAAAACATGACGCATATGAAAATATTGATAAAACAAAATAATTAATTATTAAAACAAAAAATTAAATAACAAAAAAAAGAAAACCTTTTTCAAGAACTAAAAAATAATCTGAACACTTACACCAACCTTATTTCCTTATTTCGGTCTTCCTCTTTTTCTAGAAAATGCTTTGGTGCTTCAAAAGTTTCTGAAATAAGGCAGACTTAATGATTCAGTGATCTATGTAGAATATTTTCTTCAGATATATGGCAGCATTAAATATGTACCTTCTATCAGATGATCACAATGATATGACATTGAAACATAGTTTTGTTTTCTCTTGACCTTGGGTTGTGTGTGCATGTGATGCTTATCAAGAAGTTTGTTCAGAATATATCCATATATAAGCAGATAATAACTTATCAATATACGTAGAAACCCATCGTGTGTGGAGTAAGATATTTATGTCCCTTGCCTACGACTGGTTAAGGGGGAAGTGACACTGGTTACTAGGCAACCGACATTAGTCCATACACAAAAGTCAAATTGCCATATTTTGGTATGTTGTTATTTTCCTTGGTTACAAAATATACTGCGAGAAAGCGTGACAAAAAAGTTACAGTGCTTTTTTACCCCAAGTTTGCAAGTTTCCCCCTTAATATTGAATATAGATTATATTATACTAGATTGCCTCAAGAAGTCTACGGCTTAAAATCAACATCTCTGCTCGATAGTGATCCGAGTTTCCAATGATATATATCTATTTTCCTCTTTTTTGGAAATTATAAAGGTCAACCTAATGATTTTTAATTGGCGGATAGGCAATAGGCGAAGTGTAAGATCCTCATTGAAGACTTATAAATATATGTCAAGTACCACTTAAATGACTTTCGCTCTAAACCAATCACAAAACAAGGAAGTTTATATAAACCAATCACAATCAATGCTAAGACTGACGTAAGCCAATTGAGAGTATTTTTATGTCAAGTATTTTTTTCCTCGCTCGGCAAAACAATCTTTTTAATTTGAGAAAGTAAGCAAAGATAGAAAGTTGAGAAATAATAGAGAAATTCATGCTGTAAGACTATCAAAAAGAGAACAAGCTGAGGCACTATTTTGGTATCATACACGCGTCATTCCTCATTCGTAAAAGTAGGAAAAAATTCAGGAATTAAATATAAAAATATAATTGTAAATAAACATTGAGTGAGAATAGAAAAAGCTTTGAAAACAAATATGAAAAACAGACCATTAGAAAAAACTATAAAATAAAGGAAAATGTAGGTGAAAACCAGCCAAAGATTATCGACCATTCTGTTTACAAAAACGAGTCAGTTTAACTAGAACGTAATTATATTTGCAGCCAACTTAGTTTTACTCACTTGTGATAAAGATCATTAACCATTAGCGTTTGATAACAGCTTCCTTTTGTTTATCAAGTCCTTTCTTCCTATTTCATTATTACTACTACTGCATTATTACTCGTGAAGCGCTGACGTCCACGCCATTTATCGCAAAGCAAAGCGTCAAATGCGTCTGTCTCGATCACACAAATTGCCATCAAAATAATGGAATCAATAACTGTTATTAGGATAGTAATTATCAAATCGACAAAAGCTTCCGTTCGAGATTATTAAGAATCGTTCTTAGCGTGTCTGGATTGTCGTTTGCAGCTGCCACACTATAGGAATAGCAGACGACGGGTCGAAGTGGTTAATGACAGCTGGAGGGATTCTATTACTAAAAGGAGAAATGAAAGATATTATTCTGACATTTGCGATTTAAAATTAGCAGGAAGAATGGGATGTGCTAATAATAGTCGAAAAAAGTYATAGGTTTTTCAATGTCGAAAATAATTGCGTTCAGTTTTAGGCGCATTTACGCCTTTGTTCTTAATATCTGATTAACTAAAAACTCAAAATTGAACTCTCTTGCTTTAAAGGATTTTAAAATTTCCAAATATAAATAGCTCACGACACATCGTTAGACAGTCGTATAGGACCAGTACTAATATGAGGCATGGTCAGTCGTATAGTAGATGTATAGGGTACTTGTACCATACGATTAACATGTGACACATCGTTAGACAGTCGTATAGTACCAGTACTAATATGAGGCATGGTCAGTCGTATAGTAGAAGCATAGGGTACTTGTACCATACGATTAACATGTGACACATCGTTAGACAGTCGTATAGTACCAGTACTAATATGAGACATGGCCAGTCGTATAGTAGGTGTATAGGGTACTTGTACCATACGATTAACATGTGACACATAGTTAAACAGTCGTATAGTACCAGTACTAATATGAGACATGGTCAGTCGTATAGTAGAAGCATAGGGTACTTGTACCATACGATTGACATGCGACACTTATGGTTTAGTAAATCTTACCTTTTTCTCCTCGCAGAAATTGCAATCAATGCTTTGATGACACAAGCATTGAAGAACATTGCCATCCTTCCCTTTGCCATAACCATCGACTTCTGGCGGTGGAAAGCATTCAGCGGTGAGATCACCCCAGAAAGATACAACGACGAATGGTGGAATCTCAAACTAGAGTACCAAGGGGTTACACCACCTGCAAAGAGAACCAAGTATGACTTTGATCCTGGTGCTAACTCACACATCTGTAACAACACTCCTTATGCCAGGTAAGCAACCTACTTTTCTGTCTTTTAATTTTGGAGTCTGAATTTTCCATTTTTATAATATCGGCTCACAATGGTATATACAGCATGCTACCACCATTATTGCAATCTTAAATTATGTACGCTTTATAGCGCTAAATGTTCATGAGACGGGAAAGTATCCTCCAGACCTCCCAGATCAGTTCCCCCCATCAGAACTATGCGTTAATATTAAAACTCTGAGATCCTTGTATCTCAGCAAACCCAATACAGCACATCCTCTATCTTACTCTATTTCTTTTCTTTTAAATAATTTCTGTCTCTGGATTTAAAACTCCCGAGTCTCCCCTCCCTGATGCAATAATAGTCAACCAGGTGTCTTACCATTGGCATTCAAGGTACTTCATTGGTGCGGTCCTGCAGTTTCAATTCCATCAAGCCTTGTGTAAAGCAGCAAATCACGTGGGACCCCTTCACAAATGTTCCATCTATGGATCCAAAGAAGCGGGGGCAAAGCTAAGGTTAGTCATGGCAAGATACCGAGAAACCTTGTCACACATTTGTCACATTGCGTGACTGCTTGTCTCATACTTAGAACATATTACGTGACCTATTTTTACACTTAGTCATTTTCTTGGTAAAAGCGCGGATCAGAAAGGATCCTAGAAAATAACTACGTGTATAAAAAGAAAGCTCATTTTCTTTATTATTCAAAACACAGGGCCATGCTGGAAATGGGTAGAAGTAAACCATGGCAGGATGCTTTGGAAGTACTAACTGGTCAGCGTTTCATCGACGCAAGCGCAATAAAGTCTTACTTTCAACCATTAGAAAACTGGCTGGACAAACAACAAGCGAAAATAAAATACCCAGTGGGCTGGTAACCCTGGCGGTAAGATGATGAACTGCGCAGGCGCACTACATTGCTGCTGACCAGGGAAAGCGCAGGCGCGTAAGTGTAAAGTACTGCTGACCAGGGAAAGCGAAGGCTCTGGAGGAAGTATTTGAGAATACTTTGGATGYGAAGAACAAATATAAGGCAACTCGTGGACTAATGCTTTATGTGACTGTATTAAATTTTTTAGATTATCATTTTAATAACCTCCAGTTGCAGTTTTTTATAAGCTGTCCTGTCTTTCTTTCTTTTTTCTCTCTCTTTCTTTCTTTTTATAATTTTCAGTTATGTCCTTTAGTTATAGTTAGTTCATGTTATAGTTATTTATCTTCTTTATGTATAGTTCAATAAATGAGCAGGATTGTTTTACCAGATTTAAAACCTGGTACGATCTGCGAGTTTATTGAACGACTTCAAAAAKCCATGAATAATTAATGAGCATTTAGGGTCCTTATTCGTGACATGCTCCACAGGGAACCCGGCTATATTTATTTTTGGCTTCTTTTAGAAAAGCAACTTTGCTCTTTGTGGGTTTCCTGTGTTGTGATCGGTTTCCTTTTAAATAAGCTGTAATCAGATCTGCGAGCTGTAATCAGATCGGCGCTGTAAACTGATAGCCAATTAAATTCAAATCAATAACCGTTGGTAACGCACTCTCTAGTAAACACTGCTTACTAGAAAGTGCGTTACACACCACAGGCAACCCATGAGAAACAAAACACCAACGGTTATCGATTTGAATTTAATCGGCTATCAGTTTACAGCGCCGATCTGATTACAGCGCAGATCTGATTACAGCTTATGTAATAGGAAACCGATCACGACACAGGAAACCCACAAAGAGCAAAGTTACTTTTCTAAAAGAAGCAAAAAAATATATAGCCGGGTTCCCTGTGCATGCTCTTGTACTCTTTTGGTCCTTTATAAARATTTCAAAATCTTTATATAAAGATATCCATGTCGAACTATTATCAGGCATAAAGATCCATGCCCGTGATGGATTTGAAGGACCTTATAAGTATAGATAAATGATCATTAATTATCCATGAATTTTTGAACATCGTTTTATATTCCACAGCTCATTAACATTCTAATGTATATTTTGAGATTCCATCAAACTGGATTTTTCTATTATGTGACGTGAGTGTGAGAGACACTTTTCATTCCCAACAACAACAATTTATTACTTTAGTTATAAATATTTACAAAATATTTCAATGAATTATAAAAAAACAAGTAAATCCCCAGCATCTATTGATTTCATTAAATAGTAACTCTGTACTGAATCGAATTCAATCACGTACACAGAGCCTTTATTTCTTACTGCGCATGCCCGACAAAACATTTTTTGTCGAGCATGCGCAGTAAGAAATAAAAGCTCTGGATACGAGTTTGAATCGAATAACACTAGCTTTCAGRATAAATCTGAATTGAGTCCTTAGTCAGCGGAATTTTTAGTCTCAAAAAATTCCTCATTCACTAGTCTGAAATAGATCAGCCCTATCACATGTCATAATATGATGTTAAAAGTGCCTGAACTCGGCAAAAAACATGCTTTGAATATATATAATATGGACGGACGAACCGAGCTCCGGCCTAAAGCACCCTAACAGTAACTGTCCGAGGACACACCAAGGGTCGTAGCCACTATGAGGAAAAAGAGGCAGTTCACATGGTAAAAAGGTCGCAAATGTCCTTCTAAACTCTGGAATCGCATTTCCGAGGGTCAGGATTTCAAAATCCCCCTCCCCATAGTTCCTTCTGCCTTCGCCAGTTGTTTGCCTTGGTAAACTGGTACGGTATGGTTACGGCCCTGACACCCATAACACATCACTGAAACTGGTACTGTTGCTAAGTGACTGGTGCCACGTGACTCTTCACAGGACTGTCAGAGTCATGCATACTCGTCGATATGATAATCTTTGAGGACAGCAGAGTGGCTCAAAGACTGAAATGGTGGTTAAATCTTCATTACTTACGATCCCCTCAGTTGGCTTCTCCAGTCATGGAAAGTAAGTYTTGAAAAACTACTCAGTTGTAGCTTGACAATTTCATCTGAATCATGGTTCATTCTTGAACCGAGTAACTAACCATTCCCTCAGCTCGTCCAGATTGTACTGGAATGGTCCAGGTCCACCCTGGTACACGAGGTTCTCATTCTGGACAACATGCAGACGTATCGGGGTAGCTCCGTAAGCGATGTTTCCAGTATCCAACATGCTGTCCAAAAGCACTGGACAACCTGGGTTGAACTTGGTTTGAAGTAATTGTGCCGCATGATAGCGATCTTCAATGGAATGATGAGTGTTGATTTGGAGATCGCTCTGCTGGATGAATAAAAAGCAGGATTTTATTCCAAGATCTAAAATGTTTTAACTAAAAATTGTTTACATTAAGAAATGATTTGTATATTCATCTATGGTTGGTTGCTTAGGTCAAGAAATGCCGAGTTAGTAATGTAGAATTCATCTAGTACCATTTGTAAAGCACTAGTCATCGAGCAAATAGCTTAGCGAAAAAGTCAAGAGGTAAAGTGAGATAAACGCCGCACAGAAAATATAGTAATTTCTAAAAACTTTAAAATTAATATTTTACGTTTGTCATGTCTTTTGGTAATAAAGTCAAAATATATCAATGTCAATCATGAAAACAAATCTACCGTATCTACGTAAAAATAGCGCAAGCAAACGGTGAATGGTCTATTTCTTGGATCGCAAGACCAAGGGTGCAAATTTAGGACAATTTTAAAGGAGGACAGTAACAGCGCAAACATCTTTATGTTTTAGAGAGGGTGGTATTTAAAAGAAAACAAAGTATTCAAGTTACCTGGAATGCCCAGCCATCAGCAGGGTGTGCTTCCTCGATGTAAACAAGTACAAAATCAGCAACWTCTTCAAATTCTCTCACAATGGCACGAAATTTGCTCAGTTGGTAAGTGAAAATGGGACAAGTGCAGCTTCCAAAGTTGAGAACAAGTGGACGATTGCCTCTGGCTTGAGCAAAGAGACTTGATGGCTTGTTTTCTTTGTGGTTATTGTTGTTTTCATCGAGGACTACAACTGGAAAATCAAAAGCTTTTTCGTAAAGTTTGATTTTCTTGTTCAAGTCAATCTGAATGGCGTGAAAAAGAGTTGCAAGCATTTCCCAGCCAAACAGTGATTTCCAATAAAGTTCTGATGACATACGGATMCCGGAGAGCCTGTCAAAGGTTCTTGCAATGGCACTCTTCAGCACTGGAATATCCTTAATCATCCATCCTACATGGAAAACTACCAACAGAATGGTGTAAATGAGAAAATTATAAACCGGTTTGAAGTCAAAAATCATCTTCTTCCTCTACAGCAAAAAAACGGCTTTAACTCTTTCGTGATGTGATGTGTTCAGCACTATCCAGATCTGGGCAACTGAAGACAGATGTACAAGATGTACGAGCTTTATATGCTTTTTACAGCGTGCGGTGCTATAGATGTTAGATAGGTGTTGACAACAGATTCACTCAAGTGTGTCTAATTGGTTGACCTTCAAAAACACGATCTGGACATGGCTTCCTGGACTTTGTTACCCTCGCAAGAGAACACTTTTCGAAAAACCGGAAACGCCAGGACATTCGAATCTAAAATTTCTTTTGTTTTATTATCTCTGCTTTGAATTAAATTCCTTTTCCGCTGAAAAAAWTATTTCCTGACTTGCCCAGATCAAAAGGGCTTTACCGAATTGAATAAACTAAATAACATTCATTCTTTCATCATTACCGGACTAAAGCCTTTCTTTCCACTGGATAGACTTCAGATCACCATTTTATCTTTTTTGGATTTAAAAAGACTTAAACAACTCTCCAAATCGTAACGAGCGTTTCTTCGCAGTCAGAGCTGCGAGCTCATGAGAACATTTTCCTTCCTGGAACTTGGAAAGCCTTTGGAAAGATATTCGTGCATCCATAAGCCGGTCCTACAGAGTGCGAGCTTGCTGTCCTGTATTGTTCAAGGTGTAGTTCATTATAATAATATTTGTATTATTATTATTATTAACAATTCCCCTGGGATGTACAAAACATGTTTATTGATAAACAGCAGCTTTAACGGCAAACAAGGTTTTGAACAACATCTTTAATCTGGAAAATCATAGCTTGGATCTTTGCAATTGGTAGATGGTGATGTTACTGAGGTACCAAGCGCACGTGAAATGGATGGATTCCGTGGCACGTGRACCCGACAAGTTTTCAAAGGTTTTCTAATCCAAGATTGAGATCTAATGAGTTGTCAGGTTGGTGTAAGTGGTACTGGACTGCCAGCCATCCCACGCACGCCAAGAGTCTTAGCACTTGTCAGAGGAACAGTCCATGTCATCGACAAAATGAAGGCAGAAACAAACAACTTGCAATGCTTGACTATATTAACTATGATTCTAATAATCAGGATTAAAAGTGACGTTGATCCACGAGAACAATGTTTAACCGGTAAAAGAACACAAGATGAATTGTACTGTGCGTTGAGTCTTTTATGCGTAGTTTTTAATGGAGCGATTTAGTGCATGTTGTATTGAACAAGCGGCTCTATAAGTAAAACAGAAATCAAAACAAAAGAAGATGATTATCAACGGAAATCGTTGGATGTGTTAAGAGATAATGGTCATTTGGAATAGCAGATTTGGTTAGCTGCACGAAACGATATACCAAAGCTACACGTGACGACAGTGAAACAAAAACATAAAAATGGCGTTCTCAAAACGTCAGAGAGACAGACATATTTTGATTTGGATTATTGCACAGATCGTACACAAACTTGGTTCCTAACAAATATAAATGTATATATAAATGTATAAATAAGTATGTGTATTAAAAAGGTACGTATACATTACTAAAGCCCGTGCTAATTGGACCACGCGATCCTCACTAGGCCCCGTTATCCAGTGGAGAAATTTATTGCATAACAGCATCGAATTATCCACTGGATAAGATTTATCCGACGGATAGCGCTATGTAGGCTTCGTACAACTACAGTGAACTCTCGTCTTGCGGACACCCCGATATTACGGACACTTGCTATTACGGACAGGAGAAAAAATCCCCGACAAAAATACTGACAAAGAAATGACCGTAAAAAATCTCTCGCTATTGCGGACGCTCGCTATTACGGACATGAAGTGACGGTCCCGAGGGTGTCCGCTGTAACGAGAGTTGACTGTAGTCAGGGCCCAGGCAGATAAAAGTAAGGTTCTTAGATCTCTTTATTATAATTTTTTCATGTTAGATTTTGAATCCAAAGGTTACTGAGCTGCATCAATTCACTGAATCCACTGTTCCACGTATACTGTATCTTGTCCATTTATTGGTCATTAGCCTTGCTTTATTAATCCCATACACGAGTCAAACATCAATATCATAAATTCTTTGTACGGTTAAGATTTGAACGATCATGCAATCATTTACTAGAATTTAAAACAAATCCATATAATTTAACTGATATGCTAGCTGTATACATGGGCCAGGTTGCCTGAATGCGTGCTGTTTTCTCGAATTTTTTTAAGCGCTTCATGATAAGAGTTACAACGACTTGAGCGGTACGTGCCATGGACACGAACCGTTGATATCGAGCTTGTTGCACGGTTCGTTCCAACCAGAGTTAATTAACTCTGTTCCAACACAAATGCGCGTTTAATTACGGTAATTTTCCGCATGAAAAGGAGACAAGAAGGCGCTATTAGACCGTGTCTGTCTGAATGYCCCACTAAGCATCTGTGCATGCAAGGCAGGCCACGACATCGACTGATTTTGCAACCGCTTTTAGAGCTGTTTTTAGTCCACAGGTCTCGGCAAATGTTCTGTTAATATTATTTTATATTATTTATATTATATCAAAAATCCCATCTGCTGCTGCTAGATTCATGGACCAAGTATGTTTTCATGGTAAAAAGACCGTTTTTTTTATCCCATATARCGATAATCAAACCCTTGACCAGTAATAAACCTTAGTCATGTTATCTGATTAACAGGTTTTGTCAGACTTTATTCTACCGAGCGCAACTGAAATGGAGACCTTTTTCAGACATGAATGATTTGAATAACGTAAGATRTGCAGAAGACATACACTTTTGAACCGTTACTATCTATACCAACACCAAATAATACACACATACATTTTATGAATGAACGCAATTATTCATTACAGTGCGACTAAATTAAAAAATAAAACTAAATAAAATCAAACCACTAAATTCTCATTCCATCCTAGGAGATATTCACGATAGGGCTAATCTCAATATCTCCTTTCGCACTCACTGATGCAAATACATTAGTGTGTGTGTGTTTTTTGACTGCACCAACCAAGGCCACCCAAGGCCACCCAAGGCCACCCAAACAAAGTTTTCATACGAATTAGCCAATCGCACCGAGTATTTAAACAATAAAATCTGCACAAATTCTCGCACTTTTCTCTTTAAAAACATATATTTTCCACAACAATGTTATACGAGTAAGAAATAACTATACTTCACGCGTTTTATATGCCCGATATATGTAAAGCATCTCTTTACAATATATCGGTAGTGAAATACTAAAATAGATTAGTATAATCAACTAATATGAATACAGCTTTGAGAATAATTTAGAATTACTCAGCTTTACATTCATCAATGAGACGACCTTCAAAAACTACTATACGATATTTTCCTAGTATTGCAAACTGTCAGGTCTTTTTTACATGCAGTCCGCGCTGTGGCCGTGCTACCACAGGGAACCTTAAAATAAATTAAAAACCACGAAAGCTCGGTATGCTTTCTCGTTACCAGAGCCTGTGCTGACTGGCGCATGTCTGACGCAAAGTTCGCAATTCCGATTTTCTCAGGGTTTCAGAACCTGCGATTTGCATGCCTCGTGATTCTTCCCCAGTCCTTCTCCTGAGCCTAAAACGTCATTCTCAGACGAATAGTCTCACATGAATAGACAATGAATGGCTGCTGTCCAGAGCACCACATCATGCCTGGGGCTGGGTGGGTGGGTCACGCATATCCTCGATGTCGTTGTTACACATGTGCACAAAGCAAGGAGTGGTTATAATTCATACGTGGAAAGGAATTATGGGATATCTACTGTTATGCTAATTTCATGTTTTATACTGAGCAGCGCAAACCCTTCACARACAGGGTGCGCTCGAGTAAAAACATACTTTCATTTATGTTTTGAAAGCCAAACTTGTTCGTATACCAGACTACTTCATGTTAATAATGTTTGTATTTTTTGCGTTTCCATGGTGATAACATGATAATTAATAAATGATTGACGCAGTTCTCTTTGGACGCTTTGAAGTTTTTCTTTCTTTTTGTTTTCAATATTAATTGAAATTTCTGGAGTGTAATAAATAATTCAAAAACCATTATAAAAATATTATACAAGTATTTTCACGTTAGAGCAATATTTAAAAAGCTTTAGTTTATACGATTTGGCATTTTCTTAGCCTTTCTACATCCCTTCCTTTCTTTCTTTCTTCTTTCCTTTCCTTCGTTGATTACGAGTCAATAATCTGAAAACAGAACAGCGATGTTTTTCTGCAGGACAGCAGGTACATAATTGATCATTCATAGGCTTTTTTTAGAAATAGATACTTTGGAATCTTTTCAAAAAAAAAAAAAATTATGAAATTTTGTCTTGCAGAAAAGAAAAAGAAAGAAAGAAAGGAAGAAAGAAAGAAAG